TATTATTATTATTTTCGCGATTAAAACATTAAGGCTTCCACATACCTCGTCTTTGACTGTACTAATAATAGGGTTCAAATTTTCCATGCTTTTTGTTACAACCACATCACAACATTTTGTCAAAATCACATAAGCATAGTCTGGATAGTTTTTCTAGGGGTCATTTTTAATTACCCCCCTCCTCTTCTAAAAATATCGTTCGTTTTTCCGGTAGAACACACAAAGTAAGCTGCTAAAACAAGACTAATTTATATATGCACTTTTTTTGTTAACAAAAGTTTGGTATTGCGGTCCTTTATGATCTTACGAAATAAAAAAAAATGCTTGGAATTTTTAATTTTTTTAAAAGCCTTCAGATCTTCAGATATTTTTAATGTGCTAAATTTTGAGGTAGCTGTTTCATAATACATATCTCAGTTGTGGATGCATGATAATTTCCTCCCATTCAGATACATAACCATTTCCCATGAATATGCTGAGCAACATGAGAACACAAGACAATGTGTATACGAAGAACCTTAAGACAATAACATTTCAGAACCACTTTCCCTTGCAATGTTAAAAGAAGAAAGAAACTCTTACTTGGCTTGGTAACAGCACTGATTTATTTCAACATCATCAGAACTTCGGTGGAATAGATGTACATTTCCATTTCTCAAAACGTTATCTTTCTGTATTGTATCAACTTAAAAAAAATTATGGTTAGTTTTATTCTGTTTGGTCGCTTTTGTTTTTGTTTATGTTTGTTTTTGTTTATGCTCGTTTTTCTGTTTGTTTTTACGCTTGTTTTTCTGTTTGTTTTTCTGTTTGTTTTGCTCGGAGCTTAGATCGGTGGGTGCCACTAGAGCTACAAGTCAAAAGTATTCAAATAAATGTGTACACTCGGACAAGTAGAGAGTCATATACCACTATTCTATAGCAGACTTTGGGTTTGTTTGTTCTTTTTCTTCAATTTTAATTGATTAATTTTTGTTTTGTTTTGTCGTCAATGCCTGCATATGAATGTGCCGCCAACCAGACTGAGCAAACGGATGATAAAAAAGCAGCAGAAGGACGCCAAAGTCTCCAAGGGACCAAACTGCGTTGACTGCCAGTTCCAAAGACTTTAGAGCAAAGAAAACGTATTTATAGTCTATGAAAAGTACGTTCTTTAAAGTTGTCACATTCGCTTAAAAATGCTTAGAAAAATGTGTTATGTTCTACACGTTTCGTACATACCGATAGAGTAAAGGTACTCCACAAAATCACTTTAGATTGTACAGGTGTAAGCCTTTTCCATTTCTCAAAACGTATCTTACTGTATTGTATCAACTTTTGTAAGTTTTTGGTTAGTTTTTTTTCTGTTTGTTTGCTTTTGGGTTTTTTTATTGTTTGTTTTTATTTATGCTCGTTTTTCTGTTTGTTTTTCTGGGTATTTTTTATCAGTTTGTTTAGCTCGGAGCTTAGATCGGTGGGTGTCACTAGAGCTACAAGTCAAAAGTATTCAAATTCATAAATTTATGCATAAATGTGTACACTCGGACTAGTAGAGAGTCGTATACCACTATTCTACAGCTGATTTTGGGTTTATTTGTTCTTTTCCTTTCATTTTAATTATAATTAATTGATACATTTTTGGTCGTTAATGCCAGCTGATGAATGTGCGGCCAACCAGACAGAGTAAACCGATGATTAAAAAAATATCAGCAGAAGGACACCAACCAAGGTCTTCAATTTGCGTTGACTGCGAGTTGCAAAGACTTTTGAGAATAGAAAGGTATTAAATTTTATATTCTACTAGCTGGGCCCCCTTTCGATGAAAGGAATAACAAAAATCGAGTCATTGAGGAACAGTACGCACGGCTAGTGAACGGGAGCCTCACTTACTTAGAAGACGACTTTTCCAAGATTAGATCTAAACGAAACTAATGAAAATTAAACTCAGATCTATACGGGTCGCACACACTAAAATAGTGCTCAGTATTGCTTCTATGAAAAGCACGTTCTTTAAAGTTATCACAATAACTTTAAAAAAACTTAGAAAAATTTGTTATGCTCTACACGTTTCATACATACCGATAGAGTAAAGGTACTCCACAAAATCAATTTAGAATATTATTTTTAAAAAAAGAAATGCACAGTGTAAATGAATTGTAGATGCAGTATAAAGTAAAGTTGTCCCAACACCCGATCCGGATATTGCGGATTGCCTTGTTAGTGAGACAACTTCCTGGGCCTTCAGCATAATTATTGTGGTAGGGTGGCTAGTTCCTTTCCACACCGCCTTTACTTCCCTAGCTCGAAGCCATTACTGCTGGCTGGGTATGAGGGAGCGAAAAAAGTCCGTGTCCGAACCGAGGCTTGAACTTGGACTTTAGATGCATTATAGGTACTTTAAGATACGTTATCACGTTAATGATAATGAAAATATAAAATTCCATGTGGTATCATAGATGTACGATATAGTTTAAGACAGCCCGTAAATGATTGGCATCGATTGAAATGAGGCAGTTGTCAAAATAATTAAAATGAAGATACCGACATTTTGACGCCGGTTGGGCATTTATTTATAGATTTTTCTTCCTAGTTTACTACTTTTTATGTCCGTATAAAAAAACTTTTCAGAACAGATTTTTTTAAAAATGAAAAAAAAAAATCCGTTGATTAAAAGCACAAAAAAAGAATATTCATTTAAATTTTCAATTTCCAAGGACACTCAAACTTTGGAAGTCACCAAACTCTGACGGCCGTTTTCTGCTGATTGTACTCTTGACTATTGGTGATCCTCACTTCCTTCAGTCACATATTTCTCGACTTCTTTTCAAGATAAATGGGCATTTTGCTTTCATCAAAAGCAAGACAAATAAAACAAAAAAAGCTTTAAGATAAATTCAAGAACTCCAAATGGCCAAACATTGACGAGCACCTGATTCCAACGCGTCGCGACACAAGTATCATTATATTTTAAAGAGTGAGTGCCAAGACACACTGTATAAATGTAACAATGCTTCTAATATCCTAGATCTAGATTTACATACTTTATATCCTACGTACTTAATTTTTTTTTCGTCAGTGAAAAGAACTTTATTTAAGAGTGAAATGAATACTTTCTTTTTTATATAGTTCCCTTATTTTCCCTCTCTTAACAATTTTGTAAAACCCATTTCACATACAACTAATGATAATACTATTTCCAGCGAGTGAGAAGGAACCACAGGCCAGCTAAACCTTCACCCCGGGACTCCTCCCACTGCGGAAGTCCCCGCCCACCTGGAACTGGCCAATCAGTGGCCTCCAGGCCTCAGTGGCGCCGCGCCGCGTCAGCGGGGGGACAAACAGTGACCAAACAACGTCATCAAAATCCCATGTGCTGACATTAGGGAGCTCAAAGTTTGGCAAATTTACCAAAGCCGCCTGCCCCTCTCCCCCGCCCAGAGATAATCTCTGTGTTTCCAACTCTTCCAACTCTCCAGGATATACGTCTGAGAGTGGAGCGGTTTGGGAGCGGGGGGGGGGGGGGGGGGGGGGGAAGCCCCCCCGCAAAGAAAAAAAAAAGGAGGAGGGACGGGGGGATTTTGGGACTGGGGAAAGGAAGGAGGAAAAGTGGGGAGGGGGGGGGGCAAAGTAAGTTTATATATATTAGAAATTTGCAGATACCTACTGTCTTGGCTGAGATATCGATGACCTTTTGTGTAATGATGGACAGTGCTGATCGTGCCAGTTAACAGCTGGTTGGATATTAACATAAAATAATAATAAAGGTCAATATATTTGGATTCAAAAATGTGTAAGGGTGTGAATTACTAGTAATTTTTACAGGTATGATATCTTTATGGCATGGAGATGTAGTAACATAATGCGGCTTTGGGTGTTGCCTGCATTTTAAAAGGCGATGAAAAAATGAAAGGTTGAAAAATAGATTTCACACAGAAAAAAACAACAATGTTTAAGAATTTAGAAAAAAAATGATCTGAACAAAAAGGACGGCCAACCTGTTTTTAAAACATAATAACATCATAAATCTTGAAAACGTAAAAATCACAACCAAGAGGACAAAAAAGAACACCGTTTGTCAGTTAAAAATGTCTGTCATATCCAAACTGGGATTTTTATTTGGTGGATAATTCTTACAATTGTTAGTGAAAGTAGAAAAATGTTTTAATTTTCCTCGGCGAGATGCTCACCGTGATTCCCAAAGGTAAAACAGAAAAGAAACCAGGTATGACAAACGCAGGCGCAACCGAGAAAGAAATTTGAATATTCATACAACTCTGCTAAATACAATGTAGTTACACACTGCTCCAACGTATTCGTACATTGAGAAAAACCTATTCTCAAAATAAACAGCCGCTGTTGTGTTGACATAAAAATACAAATTTGAATCAGTACATCCATAATACACGGATGGCCATGAAAGGCCTAAGTACGGCTAACAACTTGCAGTATATTTTTAAAAAAATGATAATTTGGATTTAAAAAAAAAGAATGTTCTGTACATGTCCTCGACTTCTATGAACAAAAGACCCTAAGTTCAAAGAGCTCAAGTGACTTTTACCCACATTTCCTTCTTGTTTTTTTTGTTCATTCTGAGTAGGAAAATAGCAAGCAAACTGGTTTTTCCACTATGTTGTTCAAGATGGTCCTTGTCTACTTCTCCACCCTAGTCGATGACTCTCCAGACACACACTACCAGATAGAGTGGCTTGTCTGATATGTAATCAAGAAGCCCCTCCCTCCTCCTCTTCCCTCAACACACACACACACACACATACACACACACACACACACACATACAC